AAACCTGCGGGGAACTCTGCAAAAAACGCATCTTCGCACGGGCAGCCCGTGCGTTGGCCGTTTATTCTTTTCTTTGCCTGGGTTTTGCTTGCTTCAGCTAATTTGTATGCCACTCCGCTTGGCCAACGAGCTGTTCAGTGGAATGCGCAGCATTATTTCCAACTTGTCGCAAGTTTCATTAAAGGGCATCAAAGATTGGCCATAAAACTCGTTGCTCGCTCAGGATCCTCCAGAGTCCCACTTTGATCTGAAATTTAGGCAGAGGCCTTTAACGTTTTTAGATGCAGATGCAACTTCGGTTTCGGAGCGCCCGCTTTCCCGTAAGCAGCAGCACAGTAGTTCCGAAAACGTCGAGAAGCTCGACCGAAATGACTGACTACCGAAACAAGTGGAAAGCAAAGCACCAATGACGCACATGGAGCAGTTTTCGCTTTTTGAAAAAATTTTATGCCTTCTCTCTTCTCATGAGGAAGAGCTTCCGGCAGGAATATACTGAGATGTGGCAGTGATTTTTCCAACTCGATTAAAGCATGAAAGTTAGGCACTCACTTGGGTGAACACGAATGACGTCAATTCCAGGCTAAAACTGTTAGCCAGTGGGTTGCAATCAGTAATTCAGTCCTGAAATGGGCGTCATTTACTGAATTTTCTGAAAAGTTCGGCGCCGTACAGCACTTAGCACTATCTTAATTTGACTTACGTTTGATCTACAGTTGATATTTCACAGTAAAATTATAAATTGAAGCAGGTCGCGAATTATGTCATACTCTAGCTGGGAGACTTCGAAGAACATTTAAAAAATCATCTTACAATAATTAGCCGACGCACGGGCTGCCCCTGCGAAGATGCGTTATTTGCATGGTTTCTCTCAGTTTTTGTTGCAACCGGCACCAGTTTTATCGGCAGACGTTTCTTGCTAAACAAATTAAGACTGAGCCAGAACTGTCAGAAAACATCCCCTTAAAATTCCAGCTTCCTAGCTTCCCTGGCACCTGAGTTAGTAACTAACAGGAACAAAATTTTCACGGGCACGTGCACGTTTACCAAGCACACCTGAGAGTTGGGTTCGAGTTGAACGAAACTTAGGTGGACGGGGCATATCCTCTTAAAATTAAATTCCTTTAGCTTCTCAGGTACTTGAGTTATCAATTTACATGAAAAAAATTTTTGCGGGCCCGTATGTGGGTGCCATTTTTATTCGGGGACTGGATTTGAGCTCACTAATACCCGCTTAGACAAGGGACGTCACTCTAAGATTTCAGCTTTCTAGCTTCTCAGATCCCCGAGTTATGAACTTAACCGAAAAAAATTTTGGCAGGATCGTACGCGGATACCACGTTTACCCGGGCCTGGGTTTGAGCCCACTAATACCCGCTTGGGCGGGGAACATTACCACAAGATTTCAGCCATCTAGTTTCTCAGATCCTCGAGTTATGAATTGACCCCAAAAAAACTTTGGCGGGCCATACGCGGGTACCACGCGAATTTCGGCGCCAATTTTGGGGATTGGGGCCGGCACCTGCATGTAGACTAAGTTACCGAAATTTCCAAAAAAAAAATTTTCACGAGCCCGTACGCGCGAATCACATGAGCAAGAACATACATTTTGGGGACAGGGAGCCCGTAGATGCATGTGCGTTAAGTTCCCAAAATTTCAGCCTTGTAGCTTTTGTAGGTCTCGAGAAGAAAAACCGGTACAGACGAATAAACAGCCACACACAAACACAAACAACCCCTCAACAATATGCCCTTTTGCGGTGCATAAATGCAAAAAAAAAACGCATAAATTTTTAAGCAAGACTGTCACTCATAAAAAGGATAGCTAGATTAGCCGGTCGCGAAAAAGTATGAGTCGCACTAGCCCCCTAGTACGCGCCGCAGTCAATTTTGGCAGTAAAGGCGCACTGAATAAATGTAAAATAAAATGTCTGATTTCGAGCCTAAGCTGAGCAAAAATATTTTGTATTTTGCATATTACTGCCAATGAATGGATGATGAACTGCTGAGAGAGTGTACAACAAATGCAATGTTTGTCCAAATGCTCTGATAGCACATACAGGTAGCATCCACTAGAATCAAGCAACATCAGCAAATCCAGTACAGTACCGTGCTAAAGAATAAAAAGGAGCTTTATAAACTACAACACTGGCGAGAAATGAACTTCATGGCACAACGTTCAACGACATATATCATAATATCGTGACAATTTCAGAATCTGATTCCACTTAGTAGACTATCATCCACTCAATGGCAGCCGTTCACCATCTCTTCTGCAAAATAAATCCCTATGAAGATCCGAAATTCAGGATCCAAAAACTCGAGGAAGAATCTGTCCTTTTGTGTTTTCTTCAGGGTAAAAATTCTTTCCTTCCTTATCTGACGTCAAAAAGTGGCCAATTTCCTTATCTTAGAACTGTCGCAGTGCCTGAGGTAACAGTACCATCATTTCATATGCCTTCATGCAGCTGCCTTTTCAGCGGATGAAAAACTAGCGAATAGAGATAAATTAGATGTGTGATAAATCAACACATATTCAGAATTGTTCTGGTCAGCGGAAAACGAAATATATGACTACAAGCGCATATAATCATCAGTATCACCAATAACATTATCAGCGGTGCCAGTCCTCTCAATACCACTAATGTTGCTACTTACGTTTACAAGTGCTAATGATTACAAATAACAGCTCGTTTTACATATCTTTAAGCACAACTTCATGCTTGCGATAAACAAGCAGCAGAAGCAGAGATGAAACGAGAAACACCATTTCCACGCGCACCTCTCTTAAAACAATACATGCTATCAACAAACTAGGCGACGTTTAGAAACTGATATTGGGCAAACAAACCAAGGCAAAAATCTGGTTTTCCGGAAACTGCGCAGAAGCAATACCATCCCGTCCAACCCAAATCTAGAGCGGCGAAGATTCATTTCACATATATGGCCGAAGATTCCGAAAGAAGATACAATTATGCGTTAATTCAATTCATTTACACTTTCAAGTGCAATACCACACAAAATTCATGTCTCGTAATATCAGTTCAATGAACAATCAGGTGTAATACCACAAGGGAGCACGCTAGATTCAAGTTAAATTACGTATTGAACGAATCTTCAGCGAACAGTCGGCGCCACATGAAAACAGACGGATTTCTGGATCAATGTAGAGTTGCTGTATACCTTGCACTGTTGAGGCCACCTGACGTAAACTGAAACCCCCTCGTGCTATATGTTCGCCATCAAAGCTTACCACAAGATGTGGTATGAGATCTGTATTCCAAACCTGTAACAAACACTTCTCACACACCAAAAATTGCCAGTGCTGCAGAATTTATCAAGCCTTCATTCACTGCTGCGCACTCGTCTCATTGTTGGATGAACACTCCATCGTTTGGACGCGCTCCAACTAGGCCAACTGGATCTCTCAAGGAATCACAATTACAACAGGCAAGAAGGCCAAGACCGACTGCACATGGCTACACCTCGGAGGCATTCAAACAATCATTGTACAAACTGTAAGATGTTTCAAGCATACTTTTATGTCGCCATCGTTAGATCCAGCAACAATAAGCTGTTGGAATGGATCAGTGACTAGACATTTTACTGAAGAATTTTCGAAACATTTCACTGTCGTACGTAGCCGGCGCTGCCGCACATCCCATATACATAGTTCGCCATGTTTTCCACCCGAAATTAAGCTCTGCAAGTAACTTCCGTTGTATCAAAAAGTAGATGTGCAAGTTAACAGCTCTGAAGAAGCTGTTAATTTGCAAATATACTTTAAAAAAAAA